TAGAAAAACTACAGCTCTTTTTGGGTTTGATTTTGGTGCTCTCTCTCCCAGTCACTCATACATACACTCTCTCTTTAGAAAGATGAGAGAGAGTTGATAAAAAAAAGAAGAGTTAATTTAGAAATAAAATAATTATAATAATTATGGACGAATTAAAAAGTGACACGTGTATCAAATAAATCAAATAAGTGTAAAAAATTAACATAAACAAACGAAAATAGATGGAGGGTCAACATTGGGACATGACTAAAAATTCAAGATTTAAATTGTTAAAATTAAAATGTTGGGATTTAATGTGAAATGCACGCCAAATCCTGGGATTTTTTTTTTAATTTCTCCAAAAAATTAAAATTAACTAGAGATTTTTAAAAAATATTATTAAATATTTTACACAAGTATTGATAATTTTTCTTAAAATATTTTAAAATATCTTCATATCTTGTAACTTTTTTTTGTATTTAAAAATTAAAATTAACTAGAGATTTTTAAAAAATATTATTAAATATTTTACACAAGTATTGATAATTTTTCTTAAAATATTTTAAAATATCTTCATATTTTGTAACTTTTTTTTTGTATTTATATTTTTTTGATAGGACAGAATACACTAATACTATGTTTGGATTGAGTGATTTGGAGAGAAAAGAAAAGAAATGAAAAGATATGTATTTCTCTTACTTGTTTGGATAACCTAAGTGGAGAGAAATAGAGAGAAACTCATTTTTCTTATAAGCCTCATTTTCAATCTTCCCAAAAGTGGAGAGATTGGGAGAGAAAAGAAATCGCTATTTTTATAATACCAATTTTGTCCTTATAAAAATAAAAGAAATAAAATGATTGAAAATAAAAAAGGTTATTTTGTTAATATTACATAAAATAATTTCTTTTCTTTTCTCTTAATAAAATCTAACCAAATAAGAATAAGATAAATCACAATCATTTCTTTTCTTTTACTAGTAGTCACCCGTGCGATGCACGGGATTTTAGAAAGTCAATAGTCACTAAAAAAAATTTGTTATTTGATTGTATTTCTTAATATTTTTATTTAGTTTGTGTATAAATCTTATATCACATCATTAAAAATATTAAATATATCACATTATTACAAATTTTTAAAAACTATCATCTATTAAGTAAATCATAACATATATAATAGCTAATTTATCTAAGAATTATTTCAGACAATCAAAAATAGAGTAACAAAGGCATATTATAATTAATCACAATAACTAATATATTAAATAAAAGTAACACTAATTTTGTTTAATCAATAGTAGATATAATATAATAAATTAAAATAAAATTAATTTTAATTCCCATTATATTCAGTTAGTGGTTAAAATTTTTTTGCATGCTATTTGTTTTTTTGGTTATATTGATTCATTAAACACAAATGGTTTGGAATGATTAAAAAAAAAGTTTGGAAATGCGTTAAACTTGAATTGACAAACATAAAGAATATAAATATTTAAATTATTCAAAAAAAAATTAACATTTTAAATATGTGATATTTTCCATTTGCTCAAACTCTGAATCTAAATAAAAATAAAAATAAAAATAAAATAAAATAAAAAAAGAAAAAATTTGTGGTTTGGTTCTCAAAGGAAATGAGTTTCTAAAAATAAATTTAATCATAAGTTATTTTAACAGGATAATCAATAATAAAAAATCAACTGATGAATACATTTAAATTATAAACCCATATCGAATAAATTTTGTCGTGTTCTTCATTTTCAATCTAACGTCTGCACCAAAAAAAATTAAACACAAATAATCAATAAGTGAGAGAGTTACAAATTGATAGCAGTAGCGATTTTATAAATATATTAAAAAAAATCTCAATTAAATGATACATTATTAACAAAAAGAAAGAAATAAGGAAAATACAGATTGTAAGAAAAAAATTTTAAAATAAAGAATAATATCCATTTACATAAACTCAATTTCTCACAAATGCAAAAACTCATGCAAGTACACAATTCAAATGTAAAGCAAATATTTAAGATTTTTAGGCACCGAAAGGGATCAGAAATGGCTCAATGTTTTGTTTTCCTCCCAATCTTCTGTTCATGGTTTCTTTTGCATGAACTTGTTTTTATATTGAAAAGATTATGCTTTAACAAATATATATATATATATGGAATTCTATCATATTTAAAATTTGTATGAATAATTAATTGATGGTTTTAAAAGATAAACATTAAGTTCAACTTGAAGATAAACTTTAAAAAGATTAAGTTGAAATATATGAAAATTCTATAACAAACTAACAAAAGATAAATATAGATCGTTAAAAAAATTATCTTCTTTTTTGGGATATTTATATCCCAATCTTAATATTTTTATTTAAATATTTTGTTATTTTTTATTTGAATTTTCATTTTGCAGTTCAAATCTAAATAGTTATATTTTTATTTTTGTATATTTCTTCATCTCTATTTTTTTTTTATTTGACTCTTTATATTATTGTGTGGTTGAAATTTGAATAGTTATCTTTTTAATTTATTTTACTTTTTATATTTTTATCTCTACCTCTTTGTTGTTCATATCAAAATATTTATCATTTTATTTAAATATATATAATCCTTTTGGCTTTTGCAATTTAGATAATTGACAAATGATTAAAAATTAGAAAAAGTGGGAGGGGAGACTTACCTTTATCTGTAAGTCATGAAATTAATTTTTATAAGTTATTTATCAATTTTTATAAGTTCATTTTTGGGAAGAAATTTTAAATTATCTATAAGTTGTGAAATTAATTTTTTTAAATTAGTTATTTAATTTTTATCTTTATCTGTAGACCATGAAATTAATTTCTATAAATTATTTATTAATTTTTATATGTTTATCTATATGGAGGAACTTTGAAATTCAAATCTTTATTCATAAACCATGAAATTAATTTTCATTTTAATTAATCAAACAAATAGAAAATGGAGGAAAATAAAAAACATGAAAGACAATTAAAGAGGGTTGCCACGTAGGAAATAGAGAGTTTTAAAATTATGATAATTTAATAATGAATATTTAGAGACTTTTGCCAATACAACTACATTTGATTGAAATTTTAAATTATCTATAGGTTGTGAAATTAATTTTTTAAATTAGTTATTTAATTATTTTCTTTATCTGTAGACCATGAAATTAATTTTCATAAATTATTTATCAATTTTTATATGTTTATCTATATGGAAGAATTTTGAAATTCAAATCTTTACCCATAAATCATAAAATTAATTTTCATTTTAATTAATCAAACAAATAGAAAATGGAGGAAAACAGAAAACATGAAAGACAATCAAAGAGGGTTGCCATGTACAAAAGAGAGAGTTTTAAAATTATGAAAATTTAATAATGAATATTTGGAGATTTTTTCCAATACAACTACTACAAAATGAAGGGCAAAGAAAAGGAGTAATTTCATTTTTTTTAAATCAATTTTTTAACCTTTATCTGTAGTTCAAAAAATTAATTTTTATAAGATCTATAAGTCATGAAATTAATTTTTTTAAATAATTGTTTTAATTTTTTTCTTTATCTCTAGGTCATGAAATAATTTTTCATAAATTATTTATCTGTAGTTCAACTTTTCAGAAATTAAGACTTATAAAATTAATTTTTATAAATTCATTTTTGGGAATAAATTTTAAATTATCTATAAGTTGTGAAATTAATTTTTTTAAATTAGTTATTTAATTTTTATGTTTATCTGTAGACCATGAAATTAATTTTCATAAATTATTTATTAATTTTTATATGTTTATCTATATGGAGGAATTTTGAAATTCAAATCTTTATCCATAAACCATGAAATTAATTTTCATTTTAATTAATCAAACAAATAAAAAATGGAGGAAAATAGAAAACATGAAAAACAATCAAAGAGGGTTGCCACGTAAGAAAGAGAAAGTTTTAAAATTATGAGAATTTAATAATGAATATTTAGAGACTTTTGCCAATACAATTACATTTGGTTATATATATAGTATAGATTTCTTCTTTATCCAAACAAAAAAGAGAGAAATCACAATAATTTCTTTTCTTTTTTTTTTCTTTTATAACTTAAGTAATCATTTCATTTCTTTTCTCTCATAAGTTCTCAAACATAGTGTAAAGCCATGGAATGACTTATAAAATGACACTCGTATTCATTTGAATAAAATTATACGTACTAGTACTAGTTGATAGATTAATTAGTATATTAACGGATAATGTGACATAATTTTAAAAATTTAAAATTTTTATAATTTGTATAATAAGTGGGGTTCATAATTTTAAAAGAATAATACTATATAATTAGTGCACTAACAGATAATATAAAATAATTTTTAAAATTTTAAATCTTTATAATTTGTATAATAAGTAGATTATAATTTTAAAAGGATAATATCATAATATATGTTAATATATTAATTGATAAATCAATTAATATATGTAACACCACAAATTTTAAAAACAAAATATTAGAGATTTCAAAAATTTTATGTGAGACATTTGGTAGAATGTTTGGTAAAACTTTTGAAATCTCTAACCTTACTCATTTTAAAATAAGGGATTAGCTTCCCTATAATCTGTGATCGAACTCGAGGGTGTTGTGGGCCCTGTGGAGGTCCACCACGGGTCTCGTTTCAATTATCCTGATCGTTCAATGTGTAGAAATTATTGAGCACTATATGTTTGTAAAAAATCACACTAATTGAATATCAATAACTATTTCATCAAATCAAATTTTTGTCAATCATTTATTTTTTCATTGTTTATTATTTTATACAAAACTGATTTGATCACATAACTATCGATATCTGATCTATGTGATTTTTTATAAATATATATTACTCGACAATTTTAACATATTGAACAATTTAAATTATCAAAATAAGACCCGTGATAAACCTTCACGGATCCAATAAGACTCTCCAATCCGATCATTGGTTAGTGAGAAGCCAACCCCTTAAAATAATAATCTCATACATATGTTTACATTGCATTCATTTACATCACTCCAACTGTCAATCATTTATTAATTGCAACTAAACACGTACCCCCTCGAATTCTTCAGTTTTCCCGTCATCTTTTGAATTCACCGCCTCCGCCGCCGCCGCCTTCTTCATTCTCAGCCTTTGGCCACGGCGGAGCAACCACCCACATTCCTAACACGTAACGGTTCCTCCGTCAACATCCAAGTCTCGTGCGTTTGACGCATTCACTACCAGCAGGCCGTTACCTTCGAACCAAAGCTTTTCGTCTCTATGTGAAACGTTCATAGCAATTTCGTTTTGTTAAATCCCCATTGTGATTGATATTGAAGATTTTGACCTCTCCTCCAATGGCAGACGATATTTCCGATGATGTTGTTTATCTTCACGGCGATCTCGATTTGAACATCATCGAAGCTCGATCCTTACCGAACATGGATTTGGTCACCGAGCGTCTCCGCCGCTGCATCACAGCCTTCGACGTCTGCCGGAGACCTAGGAAGAAAAAAAACTACCACCACCACAACAAAATCATCACCAGCGACCCTTACGTCACCGTCTGCCTCGGCGGCGCTACGGTGGCGCGTACGCGCGTGATCTCCAACAACCAAAGCCCCTTGTGGAACGAGCACTTCAAAATCCCCCTCGCTCACCCCGTCTCTCAGGTGGAGTTTCAGGTCAAGGACAACGACGTGTTCGGCGCCGATCTGATCGGCGTCGCCACCGTGCCGGCGAAGCGAATCATGTCCGGCGAGCTCATCAACGATTGGTTTCCGATCATCGGACCGTACGGTAAGCCGCCGAAGCCCGACTCCGCCGTCCGGCTCCAGATGAAATTCGAACAATGCGATGGAAATATTGTCGCCGAGCCGGACCGATTTGATGTGAAACAGAGCTATTTTCCGGTGAGGCACGGAGGTTCGGTGACTCTATATCAGGACGCTCATGTTCCTGATAACTTTCTTCCTGAGATTGAATTGGATGAAAAAATGGAGTTTAGGCATGATAAATGCTGGGAAGATATGTGTCATGCAATACTGGAGGCTCATCATTTGGTGTACATTGTTGGTTGGTCTATTTTCCATAAGGTAAGGCTTGTTAGAGAGCCGAGCAAGCCGCTGCCGAGCGGCGGAAATTTGATTCTCGGAGAATTGCTCAAGTATAAATCTCAAGAAGGGGTTCGAGTTTTGTTGTTGGTTTGGGACGACAAGACTTCTCACAGCAAGTTCTTCCTTAATACGGTATGAACTTGAATGTCTATTCTGCTTCTTTTTTATGAATTTGATATAGAAATAGTATTTGCAGATTGTTTTGATGTTGAATTTCAATTATGGTTTGGTTTAATCAAATTTTCTGTATGAATTATTTCAAAATTGAAATGAAATTGTAGGTTTGTGGTTGGGTGCTCGTTTAATAACAACTTTATGTCCATCTGCAAGATTGCAAGTTGAAATTATCGAGAGGAAAATAAACTTTGTGAAGGAAATAAAAATTACATGATGGTTAAGATTTTCCACAACCTTTTTACAATGGTGCATGATACTGATAACAACAAACAAATTCTTCCTCAAGTCAGTTAGATAGCAGGAATATCACTCTATATTTTGTATTACTGGTTTCATTTCTATAAATATAAGTTTGTGGGGCAAAGTTGCTTGATTCCTAGTTCCACTTCGTGCACAGTTCTTGTGTTCAAATAACATTGTCATTCACGAAAGTTAATTTTTCTGTTTTCACTGATATTAGTTGAGGTTAGTTACTCTCAATGTTAATAATGCAAGGGCTCTCTGTGTGTAGGCAGGAGTGATGCAAACTCACGACGAAGAAACTCGGAAGTTTTTCAAGCACTCTTCTGTCACTTGTATGCTGTCTCCTCGATATGCAAGCAGTAAGCTTAGCATTTTCAAGCAACAGGCATGCTTTATACTGTGGTCCAGCAATTGCTTTCCTTTCTACTGAATGAAATTAAATGATTATAGCAAAATGCTTTCCGATAATGATTTAAGCATGTTGGTGCATAACATCGGTCCCAGTGGTAATGTTGTTGGATATATACACCTAACCTATGGTTCTAAGCTTCTAAACATCTTCATCTGCTACCCCTTGTTCAATTAATATTTCTTTTTTTATTTTTTTAATCTTTTCTCTCAGAAACTGAACAATGACCGTATTTGTGCTCCTTTGGGTACAAATAGAAATTTTATGATAGAAGTATTTTATGAGTGAATTCGTACATGTGGAGAAATGTTAAGAAACCTTTACATCAACATTATACAATCATATGCCATTTTAAACACTTTAATCTTACATCTGAATTCAGGTTGTCGGAACCCTCTATACACACCATCAGAAATGTGTGATTGTGGATACGCAAGCGTCTGGAAATAACCGAAAGATAATTGCTTTTTTAGGAGGTCTGGACTTGTGTGATGGTCGCTATGATACGCCAGAGCATCGGCTATTCCGTGACGTTGACTCTGTATTTCAGGGTGATTATCATAATCCAACATTTTCTGTAAGTAATTGTTCTATCTGAACTTCTATTATTTTTTCAGTGTCTGGGTCAAATTACAACACCAGTTGTGATTGGTCGTTGGATAGCGATAGTCTTTCATTTTATTTCTTGTAATAGGCAGGAACAAAGGGTCCGAGAGAACCATGGCACGATTTGCATTGTAAAATCGAAGGGCCTGCTGCGTATGATGTGCTCACAAACTTTGAGCAGAGGTGGAAAAAAGCCACGAAATGGTCAGAGTTTGGACGACGTTTCAAAAGAATATCTCATTGGCACGACGATGCTTTAATAAAGATAGAACGCATATCATGGATACTAAGTCCTTCCTCGTCTGTTCCACATGATGATCCTGCATTGTGGGTTTCCAGGGAAGATGATCCTGAAAATTGGCATGTTCAGGTTAATTATTAGTACACACATCTTTCATAAACAAAGCTTCTATCTGATTCAAATGTTGGCTTACTGAATCTTGGTTAGTTTTTCCATTATTAAAGGTTTTCCGATCCATAGATTCAGGTTCTGTGAAAGGATTTCCAAGAGATGTTCATTTAGCCGAGTCTCAGGTTTCCTCAATTTTCTTTCTTTCATATTCTATTGTTTTCATTCGTTCAGTTTTGATAATTGGTTGTGTTTGTGGCATTGGTCTTTCATTGCAGAACCTCATCTGTGCAAAAGACCTAGTGATAGACAAGAGCATTCAAACTGCATATGTTCAGGCTATAAGATCGGCCCAGCACTTTATATACATTGAGAATCAATATTTTCTTGGGTCTTCATATGCATGGCCCGCTTACAAACATGCAGGTTTATTATCTTTTCCACAAAAATATGCATAAATGTCACCTTGAACGCCCCGTGTTGATTGCTCAAACTAAAACTCCTCTGTTATAACATGTTGTTGTGTAGCATTAGTGGCCTTTGTGTTTGTATCCATCAATCTATCTATACACACATAACTAGCTTGATGGTTGATGTACTAATTGTTTTGACAATAATAAACAACCTAAAGTGATTTTATATCAAACTTTAAAAATTTATAAACACATTTGGACAAGTAAATTTATGCGATTATAATCACACCCATAATTTGTTTTCCAGTTTCTTTTGTTACTCGTGAAGATTTTTGAAATTCAGTCCCTTATTTTATGAGTAGGTGCTGATAATCTAATCCCAATGGAGTTGGCACTAAAGATTGCTAGCAAGATAAGAGCAAAAGAGAGGTTTGCAGTTTATGTGGTCATTCCAATGTGGCCTGAAGGTGTTCCAACATCTGCCTCTGTGCAAGAAATTCTGTTTTGGCAGGTACAAATCTTTAATTTATTTGACATATAGAGGAGATTGATAGCAGCACAAATTAGGATCAAGTGCAAATAATTAGGTTGTGCCATTAGCAAAAATTGTTGCACAAAGTGCATCCATGGTACATGTATTCTTGCATCGTCAATGTCTTTTTGATTCTTAGTCATTTTGTTAGTAGTAATTCATCTTAATTTGGCAATGCCAATGTGTTTTTGATTCTTAGAAAGGTATTTACACCTTTTTTTTTTGGGTGAATAAGGTATTTACACCTTTATATTTAGTTTTTAATAAAAAAAAATATATTATTCATTTATTAAATATGAAAATTCAAAATTCGAAATACTTGTGTCTTGACACTTACGCTTCACCTCATGAGGGGTAAAATGCCTCACATTTTGCATTCCCCCGTTAAAAACTTTGGTTCTAGCCGTAATCACTATATATGGGAGAGAGATGGCATCAATCATAGTTTTATCATATGAGTGGTGGACCATTAAAGTCATCTTTGGCTATTTGGTTTTGCAGGGACAAACCATGCAAATGATGTATGAAATTATTGCACAAGAGCTGAAATCCATGAATCTTGAAAACTCACATCCGAATGACTACCTAAATTTCTATTGTCTTGGTAATCGTGAAGAATCCCCAGAAGAAAATTCAAATTTAACCAGTCAACCTTCCAATGGTGATGTGGTAACCATGCCCACACAATTTATTTTCTGCTGTTTTAATTATCTGCACCATTGATATATTGTGGTTCCAAATAACTTAGCAACATTCATTAACGCTGTGTTTAGTTTATGAATTTAGGAAGTGATTCGGAAAAAGAGATGAAAAAGTGTGTGAATTTGGATAAAATATAAGTATATTTTATTCACATTTTACATCCATTTTTCCTTTCTCTTACCCTTTCCAAATCCTTTCCCAAATTGCCCGATCAAACACAGCATAAGTGATTTTGTTTTGCAAACTGCTGGTTCACGTATCAAAATAATCCTTTCCTTAAGATCGGCTACAAATTTTAGCTCTAGGGCATGCAATCTTGGGAGTTTTATAGACTTAATGTACTATACTCTTTCAAAAAAAAAAAAAAGGGAAAAAAAAAAAGAGAAGAAGATGAAGAAGAGAGCTTTCAAACTCACCTTTGAATGAACTGGTGGGCTAGATTTTACATGTCAATGAATTCAAATCTATATGTTGAGTTCTTCATGTGAATCTGAAACATAAATTTATTATTATATGAAACAAACCTGGAATTAAGTTTTTCAAACCAAACTTTCAGGTTTCAGCTTCACAAAAATTTGGACGATTTATGATTTATGTACATGCCAAGGGGATGATAGTAGATGATGAATATGTGATTTTGGGGTCTGCCAATATTAACCAGCGATCCATGGCTGGTTCAAGGGACACTGAGATAGCTGTGGGGGCATATCAATCCCATCAGACCTGGGCTAAAAAGAAAAAACATCCACGTGGACAGGTGGGTATCTTCATTCTAAATGTGTGATATTTTCCATAGTCATAGGTCATAATTATGGTAATATATTTGCAGAAGACCTATTTTTGTATGCTTGATTGATGTTGAATTGCAGGTATATGGATATAGAATGTCACTTTGGGCAGAGCACGTAGGAAAACTAAACAAGTGCTTCAAGGAGCCTGAAAGTTTGGTTTGCGTCGATAGCGTGAACAAGATTGCTGAAGATAACTGGAAGAAGTTTACCAGAGAAGAATTCACCCCATTGCAGGGCCATCTTCTCAAATACCCCGTGAAAATAGATGGTAATGGGAAGGTCAGCGCCTTGCCTGGACAAGAGAATTTCCCAGATGTTGGGGGAAAGGTGCTTGGTGCTCGGACAACGCTCCCTGATGCTCTAACTACATAGACCTCACTTGTTTTCATGTCCATTGTATACTATTATTGTATTTGGTGCTGGAAGAGGAGGCGGAAAATAATTCAAGACGGTCCAAGCCAAGTGATAGGAAGTAATAGATCGTTTAATACATGGAATAGTGATGCTACTTGCTCAAAATTTTTACACATAAATTTTACCCAGAAACCAATTAAATCACAGCCACACATTCTGATAATGGGTAAAAATAATTTACCATTTTTTTGGGTAAGCAGCTTTTCTCAACATGAAATGCCAAGTTATAGATTGTATGTCATTGCCTTCGCGAATTGTCTTTAAACGATCAATTCTTTTGGAGAACTGTTTGAAATAATTCTGGTCTTTGAAACTCGAGAGAGTTGGGGTGGAGTGTTGTATGTTGTAATTTCTTATCAAAATTATATATATATATATATATATATATGGGGACATATTTTGTGAATGATAGCACGTGGTCAAGGGGATGCCGAAGTGTCGGTGTCATGTGGTCTGGTTATGATGTCGAGGTGATCTCAACTAGGTCGAGATTATCTGTGAAGATACTGAAATTTGAGATAAGCAGATAAGAGGCAAGAGTCCTAGAATAGGAGAGGATCTCAGTTTGGATAAGGATAAAGTTCTTAGGGAATTGAGCCTGAGTCCACTGAAGTGAGGCTTCTACATGAATCAAGTCAGTGCTGGCTGTAAAAGGAGGGCACCCTCGTGCGTCTCAGGTATGGGTGATATACTATGAGCAGTAAGTTTTTTTTTTTTGTGAGATTAAGTACAATTTGCTATCTTTAAGAGATATTTGATTACTGACTTAATCGTCGGAGTGCTCTCGGGTGGACGAATTACCGTCGGATTCTTATATTTCTATGCCTCCGTTTGGAAACTTGGTTTTGAGGTTTTTTTGGCTAAAATAGCCACAAAAAATAAAATAAGCTTTTTAGCCCAATAAGACAAAATATCACATCTAAACCATAATCATTACATTCTTTCTTTTACAAAAAATCCAAAAAAGTCAAAAGTCCTTCTCAAATCAGGTTTTTTAACCCCAGGCTGAAATAGCTAAAAGAGACAAAAAGCTAAAAATGCAACCACTTCCCAAACGAGCTTTGTGACAGGTTATTCGGGCTTTAATCTATTCTACCGGTGCTTTTTAGCTAAGTGTCCCGTTTGGTTGTGTGGTCGGAAATCAACACCCATAATTTGGCGCCGTCTGTGGGAACGTAAGAAGAATAGATGGCCAATTACGCTTTTATCGAATGCGATTAATTGTTTCATTAGTGTTATAATTATCATAGTTGTAATTTAATCTTATTCTAATTAGTATTGTTGTAGCCATATTGTTTATTATTAATTGGTATAGCTAGTTAATTTGTTGTAATAAAGTAGTTAATTAACTTAGCCTAGTTAATTCGCCCCAATTTTGTATTAGTTAGTTTATTCGGACTCTCCTTTGTGAGAGCGTAAGTTGTAATAATGTATATGTTTTCCAATCACACGTCTTTCTCCATTTTATTTATCTGCTTATGATGGTTAATTTAGGGACATCATGTTTCGATTCGCATAATTCGTTGTTAGGTTTTTATTCTTGGCAATCCCGTTTGACAAAACTCCTTTCAATTGTACTTTTATTTCAGTGAGGTTATGAGTACTTAGATGCAAATCCAACTCGAATTGTGCCTTGCAGAGAAGTTTGTGATGTTGATTCTTTCTTGTTTGCCACTTCGCTGACTATGACGGGGATCGAGCTGTCTGGTCAGCTTGCGGGGGTCTAGGGGGCAGCGTCCCTTGGCGGGTCCGAGGCAGCGCCACGGCGGGGTTAAGGGGCAGTACCCCCGAAGCAAAATGCATTCGAAGTTGCTTGTCCATTCAAGCGGACATTCCCTCGTTCGAGCAGAGAATCCTTGGTTCTAGATGTTTGACCTGTTTGCAAATACACTCTGAGGCGTGTTTTTACGCTCGAGCATCCATTTTTCCGCTCGAGTGTACATCCTGGTTTGGAACACGCGTTCTAGCGTTCCCGCTCAAGAGTCCATTTCCCCGCTCGAGCGTACCTCGCGATTTTAGATTCTATAAAATCTCAAGTTGCTCCAAATCTAGGGTTAAGCTTCTAGATCTTATTTTTGGATATTAGAGTTTATATCTGGGACTATTTTGCTTGGTTTCTTTGATGTTTAATTGAGTATTCAACTCATGGTTTAAGAAGTATACATCAAAGGATTGTTTGTTTATTCTATATAAAAGAGAGAGTTGTTCTTAGGTGGATTCCGGAGAATTTGAGCCTGAAACTTTGGTGAATTCTAGAGTGGCTCATCGCCGTGATTCGACATCGATGTTGTGGATTCAATGTTAGGTAAGATGATTCCGAGGTGAAGACCATAGTGGAAGAGGCATATAGGGGTCGGTTCAATTCGAACGTGGATTCGTTAAGTAATTGACAGTGCACTTGTGTAATTATTTTTGTCTTCTTAGTGGATTGTTTTGTGATTTTGGCCTGTGATTTTTCACCACAATTGGAGGCGCTCCAATTGTGATTTTTTTCACGTTAAAATCGTTGTGTTGATTTGTCTTGATTGTTTGATTGAGATTGTTATTTATTGCTTAAAATTGGTACATAATCACAAATTAATATCTAGGAGATTTCTAGATTTTTCATTCATGTTTGCATCCATTTGTATTGCATGCATCGAGGTTCGGTTCATCATTCAAACTTGCATTGTCATTTAAATAATTCTTTGAATACATGCTTAGACCGCATGTTAACAAAGTGATTCGCATGTCATAAATTAGTAGCCGAGCTTGTTTAGATTGCATATCGCTTGTGTTGCATTAGTTATAATTGTATAGTTAGGATCACACATTTTTCTGACTCATTTCTCTTTTGGCTTGGAGCACTAGGTGAATCTTTACTCGTTTTAGCATATTGCATTGATGTTGCTATGTCTAGCATGCTTGCCATGAGGTTAATTGCTTAAATGCTATAATTGCTTGAATGTCTATGGATGAAGGCTTGTTGCTCGAATTGGGATAAGTTGAGCAATTTTCATATGCAATCACTTTTTCAAGTGGTACATATTTCGAAATAATTTTCAAAACAAACATGACTCGAAATATTCCAATTCTTGCAAAGTTAGTCTATAATTGTTTGTGCGCATCACATAGTAAATACTAGCCTAATAAACCAGAACAAGAGCATATAATGTACATAAGACTCATATCATGATTAGTAGAGGTCGATCTTTGATCGGGCGAGCAGGGGTGCTCAATTCATGACCTTTCCCTCTCGTACCTAAGTTTCCGAGTCGAGACAATATTGGTGATGACGGACACGTGGCTTTTGGCATGAGTCATCGGTTTCCTAAATTTTCTCAAAATAAAATATTTAGGAGGCGACCCTGTATCTGGCAAAGCAGTCCATTTTTGGCAATTTGATTCAAAATTAATTTTTCAAAAGATTTGTCAGATTTGGACTCTTTAGCGTTTATCAATTTCACATTGCACTTGTGAGATTAGATTCAGAACCGCGGGAGTCCGAACTGTAAGGCTTATTTCGACCTCTCAAAAGGAGGGTACGAAAAAGTCGAGCTACAGCTTGATAAAGATGGACAGTTGAGTCCTAGGTACTTGAAACTGATGAGTCACGATATCGGTTCAAGGAAAGAATGAATTTTAAGCCGGCATAATATATAAACAAGCGATGTAGGTTCCATCACCTCAAGTTACCGAGGTAATAGAACCTAGGCGGCAGTTGTGGGGACATATTTTGTGAATAACAGCACGTGGCTAAAGTAACGCCGAAGTGTCAGCCGAGGTGCCACGTGGCCTGGTCATGATGCCGAGGTTATCTGCAGAGATACCGGAATCTGAGATAAGCAGATATGGGGCAAGAGTCCTAGAATAGGGGAGGATCTCAATCTGGATAAAAATAAAACTCTTAGGGAGTTTATTCCTATCTAGCTGAGAGTCCAAGATGAGCATTGAGCTTGAGTCTACTGAAGTAAGGCTTTTACAAAGATTAGGTCAGTGTTGGCTATAAAAGTAGGGCACCCCTGTGGGTCTTAGGTATGGGTGATATACTGTGAGCAGTAAGTTTTTTCTTGTGAGATTAAACACAATTTGCTATTTTTGAGAGATATTTGATTACTGACTTGATCGTTGAAGTGCCCCCTGTAGACGAATCATCGCCGGATTCTTATCTTTTTGTGACAGGTTGTTTGGGCTTAATCTATTTTGTCAGTTCTCTCCAACTGAGTTCCCCGTTTGATTGTGTTGTTGGAAATCAACACGCACAATATATATATATATATACATGTGGACAAGTATTTATTGACGGGAATTTTAGCAAGATATCTCTTTTTTGAAAATTTGTCTGTTTAGTTTATTCTTAAATTTTTTTTCTTATGAGTTTTCATTTACCTTTGGTAGACTGTTTTTAATATTTTAATCAAGAAAAAATTAGTGAAATATCCTTCTCTAATTTTAGATAGTAGGAAAGACCCAATATGTTTTTTCTTTTTAGTTATGGGCCCTTAATAATATTATTAGAGAAATTTGTCATAGAGAGATTTATCTATGAAAAAAGAAATTTCTCTATGAAATTTTTTCATTTTATGTGAAAACGTTGAGTGAAACTAACAATTGCATATCTTTTATCTTATAAAATTTTATTATTGAGGCTTTAAATTAAAAACTCTTTAATCAATTCTTTGTATTTTTTAATGTACCTAATCAAGATGACGCTAAAAAGTAAAATAAATTGATTAAAATATTTTTTAAAATAATAAAATTTGATGAAAATTCACACAAAAAATTAATGTGTATTTTTGTTTATTTTTAATGATTTTTTTAATATATATTTTAGTTATTTTTTTTTTTACTTTTTAGTTTTGAAAATATATTCGTTCTAAGAAAATTTATCTATAAATCTCATTTTGAGGAATGCTGATCCATTTAGTCATAAGAATTTTTTTATAGACCAGTTAGTCTCATTGATTTTGAAAAGATAAATTTAATATATTATTTAAAAATTGGATTTACGGTTATACCCTTATTTCTATTATGTTTCATTTTCTTTTTTTCTTTTGCGTTAGAAACGTAAGATATCTATAAGATTCAAATTTGGAATAAATTTTTGTATGAAAATTTTTTGTATTTGGAAAACATTTCAAAAAGAGTAAAAAAATTACTTGAAATATGAGATTTTTCAAATATTCCAAAAGAATGTGAGATTATTCAAACATTTCAAAAGGAGTACAAAAACTCTTTAGTAAGTTTTGGACAAATGTATAATTTCAAACTGTAACACTTCAATATAATACTCAAATTTTGGACAAATGTATAATTTCAAACTGTAACACTTCAATATAATACTCAAATGTAACACTACAAAGTAACACTCCAAAAAAAAATCCTTAACGTATTTTTTTCTAAATATAACACACTCCAATATAACAC